TGCTGGTCCCTGTGTGGGCTAGCTATCTCACAGTGTCGAATCCTTGTTGTAAAAAAAAAAATTCTGGCCATCCAGGGGAAGGTGGTTTTAGCGAAGTAGCTAGAAGATAGCAGAGTCCATGTCATAACCAATGTTCCATCTTGACTCTGTTCCTGGTGCCAGATGTTTGCCCTTCACATGCTCTACATGCTCTTTCTTTCCAGATGGCCTTTCTGAACTGGGCTATACCCATTCTTGGAAAGTTTCCTATTGTTGTCCTTCAAAGCTCCTTGGGGAAAGGTTGCATTCTAGATGTGTTTACTCCTTCTAATTTATACAGCTCCTGTGACTGTCAAAAGCATATGAGAATGAGGACAGCTATGTTTTGTCCTCACAGCAACTTTTTGCCTGTTGAAGTGGAGGAACATTCTTTTTCTCTTTTTAACTAACAGAAGGCTGAGTAGCATCACAATGAGTCCATTGCACAGGGAGGTCATGAATCCACTTCTACATACAATTCGCTCAGTATAGATCCAGGTGGGTAGCCATATTGGTCTGAAGCAGCAGACCAAAGTTTGAGTCCAGTGGCACCTTTAAGACTTTGTTGATCTTAAAGGTGCCACTGGACTTGACCTTTGTTCAATTTGCTCAATAGTAGACCATACTGGCTCCTAAGTGGTTTGCTTTATCCAAAAAACATGTTCACTGGCAAAAGTCACATTGGATGATTGTGAACAAACAGGCCACAGCTTGCAAGCATATTTAGCTACATGCATGTTATTGCAATATGAAAGAAGTGGCTGTCATAGCCATCCCACTCCATTGTATTTACTGTGAGATTCTCTCATCGTAACACAACTCAAATTAGACGGCTCTTAATTTTTGTTACTGTTGTTAGAAACGACAGTTTTTAACCAGAGTAAGTTTTAAAACTCGCCTCCTATACTTATGTATAATATGATTCCTTTTCTCCGTTCACATAATAAATCTAAAACAGTCTAACTTGTACAATTTGTGCCACATCTTAAGTTCTATCTCAAGTATCTCTCCCCCCCACCTGTGCAGTTCTTCTCTAAATGAGTGGTGTTGCACTATCTTTTCAGCCACACTAACACCAGGCCTTTATCTGTGACAGTGATCTTTACTGGTCTAATTTCTCTTCTACTCTACCGCTGTAAAACATTTTTTCATCCTTCCATCCACCCCTCCATTTTCTTCTCACATCAGCAGCTAAGTATAACTATTTGTGTGTTGCTGCCTCCCAAAGGGGCATTTTGGTGCATGAAAAGGAATCCCCCCCCCCTATCATCTCCTTACTCATTAATGCAAAGTCATGCTGCTGGTGCCTATTTTCCCCTGGCAGTTTTCATGTAGTACCTTAAGAATATTTTCTCAGGAAAGTCAGAATATGAAATATAACAATATGAACTAAAATCACCTTTGGAAGCAGACAGACACACCAATCAGTTTGGTATAGTCCACCTATTGTGGCTTGTTCAGTCATATTCAAAGTATCTACTGTCAGGGAATTTAAGAAGAACTGTAAGGGCAAACAAACAGTGGAACAAAAGAAAGAGAAAAAGAAACAAGGTCAGCATAAAGAGGTGTAAATGAGTCTTTTGCATGTATCACTGTCATACTTTTTAAAAAGCTCCGTACCCATAAAGGTAAAGGTTCCCTTGCTCGAAAGCCAGTCGAATCTGACTCTAGGGTTGCGGTGCTCATCTCCGTTTCAAAGCCGAAGAGCCAGCGCTGTCCGAAGACGTTTCCGTGGTCATGTGGCCAGCTGTTCCATCTGGACGTGATTCAACACACGGCCAGAGTAAAGTAGAATTAAATCATTTTTTATTAAGCTCCACATGAATTCAGAAGATCTCTTTACTCACAATCAAAGCTGAATAACTGGTGTAATTCACATCTTTGTAATCTAATTCAGTTCACTGGCTCATGGTGAAAAAGATTACGTGCTCCGACCTCTTTTCCCCTCTTTTCCCGTTTAAAGAGCAGACAAAGGAACGGAAGAAAGCTGTAAACTCAAATCCCCGCGCCTCTGGGTGCAGGAAATGACTGTTAATCAGCCAGTCAGAGGGGTGCTTTGGGATGTCTAACTAAAGACTTCAATTCCCAGGGGCAACTGCTCTTAAAGATATATGCCAGTTCTACTTAACTACAGTTAAACGCTGGCTGAGGGCAGCACACTCCCCACCTGGAATCCTACGGGTTCCACTACCCACATGCATTGCTAACAAGCCTTACAACTATAGCTATGCATAATTGGCATGCTACACTGCTAACTATGCAAACTTGAGTCTTTAATCTTCGAGTTCTTCTTTGGTGCAGAGCAAAACCACATCAGTGATTGGCCTGATATGACTAAAATATACTTTATAAAGTAAAGATGGGAGTTTTAGCATGTTAAGAGGTCACTGTAGACTTCAGGAAAGGACTCCAGAGCAAAAGCATGTGTAGATAACAAAATCAAACTGAAGGGATTAATTTGGCACTAATAGGAGGTGAACATTGGCCTGCATAAGGCAGTGGGTCAGATTGATGTCAATGGTTCTCATGACTGTAATGAAATAGCTACTCTGGCCTGTGGCAGAACAGGAACAGCGGCATCTGTCTATGGGGCTGCCCAAGTGAGGGAAGAAAACTGGCAAGCAGGCAAGCAAGAGGCACACTTGGAAGATTTTATATTCATTTAATTAATGTCAAATGTAGTTTACAAACGGGAATGACAAGTACCTTTTTATAGAATATACACGGACACACAATCATTGACACAACTTGAATATCACCTTGTGCAGCTGGGAATCTTTGGGCAAAGATCATTCGTTTCATTTCAAGCTCATAGTGGAAGAGGAGAATGTGGTTGCCAAGTGATATGAATGGAATCTTGCACAGAGGACCAAGTCAGTCCTTTGCATCTTCTTTCCCTTCAGATCTTTCTCCTCCCTAACCCCTCAAGGAAAAAAAAACAACAGGGCAAGATTAATGTTGAAATAAAAGTTGTTAGTTGCATGGGGCTTTACAGTATGCATTTAGTTTAGCGGTGGTCCATAGGACCAGAGAAAGCTCTTTGTTCCCAGCTTACTGGGACATGAAAAATGAACTCTCTCAGCACAGCCTCTTCTCAAACGTTTCAGGGTGGGTGATGTGCGGCTTTGTACTGAATGTTCCCGCAGTGATTGCTTGATTGTGCTGGGCAAGCGTGGTGTGGTGTGGTGTGGTCTTCCTTGCCATGACACACTTCAGACCAATTGTCATCAGAAAGTTAAGTGCTGTACTAGTAGTGGACTCCATAGTATGAACAAATGGATGCTGCCCACTTAGGATGCCAGTGAACTCTTGCTTGAAAAAGCAACTCCCCCCCCCACCCTCAAGCTGCTGGTAGTCCACCCTCACATTGGTCTCATTGCCTCAGTAACAGCAGCAGGAACACTTATTTTTAAACCTCTTTATGGTCAGATGGCTTAGCCACTTGTTGCTATATGAAAAATCCAGGAGTTAACTATTTGGGAACCTTGGAAGTTCAGAATTGTCTGAGTCTGAAGCTGGTCTCCATGAGACAATAGTATTTCATGAGGATTCTTGAGAAGTCAAAATGCAAGATTTGTATAATAATGGCAATCCCTATCTAGGAAGGAATATAGAAGCATGTACTGTAAGGTAGTGCTGTAGCAGAAGTTTGATCAATATAAAACTGACACCAACATGACTAACACTGGTCTGATATTTTAGGACTTAAATCAGAGATGTCATACTGAATTAGCTAGAACAAAAAAAAAAGGTACTTTGCACACTATCCCCATTATAAAAGGTAGTTAATGATAGGTGTCTTTGCCTAGCAAACCAGCTCTTATCACGCAAGCTTCTGGTTTCCATTTGTGGAGTCCCAACAACACTGCAATCCTTTTCCTAGGTGGATTATAGGAATCTTGTTTGTCTGTGTGCCTAAAACATTTCAGGTTCTGATTTTTATTGGGGCAGGCTGACAGAAGACTGCATGTGGGTCACAGCTGGGGACAGTTTGCAGTTGCCAAACAGGGGACTGGGTAAGGGGTTGCTATCAGAACTGTGCAAATGGCTGCAGAAGGCTTCAAGGAGTCCAACCTCACATAAACCTGGATTGAGTTCCACCATGGCCACAGTCTGAGCAGGAGAGACAGTAGGAGGAAACAAGACACATGTCATTACAGGGCAGCACATACCACTTCCTTTTTTTAAAAAAAGTTGAAATTAAGCATATGTTTAGAATTGAACCTATAAAAGATATGGGACATCACACAGACCAGGAAGGTCAGTGGCTAGGCATGGCAATACACCAGAGTGACATAAAAGGATTTGCTCGGCTAGAGAAATGGAGAGAGAAAGACTGATGGCTACTTCCTGCTCAGTCACAGGATGACCAGACTGAGGGCATTTCTGAATTGCTTCTCTGCACTTACTTTTCTAGACCTAGAAGCTACAAACCAGAGTTCAGTAGTTACTGCCTCAGAACCTTTTGACTGCCATATTCTCAAACAAAGATGGCTTCAGCTTTCACAAAAGAAACTTCTGGCAGAGTGGAACTATATCCTGTAATGCCAGATGCAGTAGGCAAAGATGACTCCCCCTTTCCTTTTGCTTTATGTAAATGCATCAACTTGTCCCATTCCCAGCTGGCACTGGTAAAAGCTTGCAAGCCTGACCTGCATGCCTCTTCCATTTCTTCCAGTGAAAAATTAAAGACTGTTTCAGTGGGATAAAGATTCTATATAAATAGCCCCATTAGCTACAACTAATGACAGAAATCTTGTTTTCCCAACTTCCCCCAGAAGTTGTGTAAATCATGGGCAGAAATACAGCCATTACTAGAAGCTGTTAACTTTATATCCGAATGAGGAAATATACACCACAGAACATTAAACCATTTATATTATATAATATGTATAATATATATATATTTATACTTCTTTTAAACTAATGACTTTAATGTCAAAACTTTGCAGAACCAAGAAAAATATGGGTTTAATGTTCTCTGCTTATTTTTTTCTCTTATTTTTTTAAAAAAAGTACAACCCAAAAACAAAGGAAAAACATAAAAGGGCAACATATTAGTATGTAATGTTGGAGTCTATCCCATTTATACACAACATTGTAAACATATAGAGTTTATATTACATGTGCTTCATTCTGCCATTGTGGAAGTGTGGGTGTAGGCGTTTTGTTTTTAAAACCACTAGACCACCACAAAAAAGGAGGGGGAAAGAACACAAGTTACAGCTCGGGAGGGTTCCTGCTGTGGAAGATCCAGTCCCTTCACAGGTTGGCTCATAGGGTGGCTCGGCTACCAAGACGTTCCCCTGAAAAGGCTTGCAAGTCATCCACGATGGAACCACACCTCATGGCGAAATGGGACAGGTGCAGAACATCAGTTTGTGGGGGGGCGGGCAGTTCACAATAAAGATTCTGGTTTGGCCTTCTCGTGGAGTTGGCGGTGCCAGCGACAAGTTTGGAAGCAGAGGCATTGTGTGGCTCCTTCAGCCTCTAGTCCACATTTGGAGTCTCTAGTTTGTAAATGTCTCTTGCCGCCGCTGCTGCTGCCATTTTTCCCAGTCCCCCTGGTGTGGCAATCTGGTCTGAGCAGCCATGTCCTTCATAAGTAGATGCGCCTGAGGTCCCCTGGAGAGGTGATGGTGTTGCACTGAGGGCACAGCTTCTTAGCACCCTGTATGGGATCAAGCAATAGCAATATTAGGAAGAGCAAGAACACTACCTCCACCTTCTGTCCATATCATGTGGCTAACAGCAAGTGCACATTGTTACTAATAATCATAGCAAACAGATCATGTGTGTGAGGACGCAACTTAGGGAGAAGGCAGACTTGCATTTCTCACATGAAGTTATTACAGATGCTGAAGGCAGCCCAGGGGCAATGTTCCCTCTAAGCTGTGGAGTCTTGTGAGCAAAAATTCTACTTAGTGAGCTACTGGCACTAACGTTGTGAGCAAGCGACTTGGCTGCTGCATAACTTAGTTTGCTCTGGAGCCATCCTTCCTGAGCTAAGACAAAAATGTGTGAGCTGGAGGCTAAAAAACTGTGAGCTAACTCACACTAACTCAGCTTAGAGGGAACACTGCCCAGGGGAGTGTGGAGGAAGGGAGTAAATCTGGTTTGTTGCTTGCCTGAACCCCTTTCCTTTCTCTTTCAAGCCACTCTTGGGACAGTTCTCACATTACTTTTTTCCACAGGGATCCCTGGCTATCTATCCCTCATGCCTCCTAGGTCCCAGGGCAACACTGTGCGATGGGCAAAGTAGGACAAAAGCCACACGTTGCGAGCACATGAAAGCTAAGAGGTGTGTGAACTTTTGTCATCTCAAAATCTGGAATATTTCTGAAAATGACCAATGTGCAATAAAACTACTTAGTGCCCATTTTCATTTTGACATCTTCGCTGCCCTAATCCTTACACCATTTACTTATTGCCAAATGTTTCTCTTTTAAGGCTGAGGGTGACAATCTCACTTTAGCAAAATTAAAAGCAGAGTGCCAAGAACTAAATTTCACAAAATATTCTCTGCTCTGTGATTCAGGGGGTGGATTGGCCATTAAGGCCACTACGAAACATTCTGGTGAGCCAGTGGTCTGGGGGGATACTTCCCCCCACCAGGGCCAGCCCAGCTTTGGGGCCACCCCAGGCCAAAGAAAGGGGTGGGTGCAGTCGCAACTGCTGCAAGATGGTGGGGTGGGCAAGAAAACACCCAACCTAACCTCACTACATCCAGCACAGCAGAAGATGTACCCAGCTCACCCTTTGCCACACCTGACCCGAGCTCACAAAGGTGAGGGGTGCACCAGCAGTTGAGGGACACATCCAGCCTGGCTTCTCCCATCCAGCTGTGCAGCTTTGCTGGGCACCCCTGGCTTGGGGTTGGCTGGGAAGGCCTTCCTCCCTTCTGGGGAGGGACAGGCCCCCTTTCACTCCTAATTCACCATGTTTACTGAACAGATATAGCTCTCTATGGCCCTTTACTGTTTTTCCTTACTTCTCTCCATTGGCTAATGATAGAAAACCCAGTCTCTAGAATAAAGAAGCCCTGCAGTGCTAAGGAAAAATGAAAACACAGAAAATCCAAGTCCAAGAAGGAAAAAAGATAGCTGATGTGTGACATCCATTAGAAATAAAGCACCCATATTCATCATCTGTGAATGAACCTGACAGACAGAAGGATGTTAGTAAATCTCAGATTCAGGGTCAAAATAAACCAGCCAGCATCAAATTGGTGGGTGTAACAGAACAATGGACAAGAAAAATGATACATGCAGCATAGAAAGAGCAAAGCTTCCTTTGGAGGCAAATACAGTCAAGGACAACAGCTGGGAAGTACCAGGAGATGGTATCAAAATTTAGCCTGCTGACTTTGGTGGATGAAAAATAAGGAAGTCCCTATGTGAGTGATCCAGTCCCACCATATGGTTTTATGTTCACTGTGTAGCATTTCCTCACACATTTCAACTAAGCAGCAAAAGCCAGCATCATTACCTAGCAAAGATCCTGCTGTTGTGGAAAGATACCCAAGAGGCAGTTTCTGAAAAAGCTATGGCAAAACTGATGGGGGGGAAAAAGGAAACCCAAGCCCAAGAGCTACTAGAAAAGTTTTACAAATCCAGCAGGATTTACAACTCACTGGTGGTGGAGGTTTTTAACCACCCTCAGAAAAGCCATATAAAAATCTTTTAAAAAAACCAAACAGTGAACAAGACCCATTACTTCCACGTTTGGACCCTTCATCAATATTAATGTATTCAATCTAAGACTCACTGGGGAAGACAATAATGCCAGGAAAAGTTGAAAAGAGAAGGACCCAACATAAGATGTATTGACTCAATCAAGGAAGCTATGGCCCTCAGTCCGCAAGACCAGAAAAGGCTGTTAATGATAGGTCACTGGAGGTCATTCATTTACACGGTCCACATAAGTTGGGAGTGAGTTGGTAGCACTTAACACCCACATGCCCATACAAGACAGGGACACCCATTATTAGCTGACGAAAGAAGCCTCGCAAGGAGAGTGGCTTGAGTCTATGCCACTGCAGGGCACTTCTCCCATGTTTCTCTGTGTCTGTTCCCCGGCCTTCTTGCCCTACAGAAAGGCTAGGATACTGTTATGCTAGATTCAATGGTGACTGCAAAGGAACTAAGCTTCATGCCTTTTGAGAACATAAAATGAGAAGGTACACGTCAAGGCTCAGAAATCAAGCAGAATATGGTTAGGGCATCTGCCATTCCTCAGAGAACAACTCTAAGCCTGACCCCCACAATACCTCCCAAATCCCAAATCTGACTTTCTATCAATCTCTGACTTAATAAATGGGAACAATTATGTCAAGATTAAAAGACATCTAATGCTCCTCAACAATGCATGCTTAATGTATGACAGAGTTGTTGTGAAGGAAAGGGAGTTTAGAACTCACTGTAAAACACACTGGGCACTAAAAACTGCTAACAAGAACAATGCATGAAAGATCCTGTAATATGCCCAATTTATTTCAAGAGCAGATTTCTTTTTTCCTGGACTCAAAGAGAAACTGGATCTTGAATGCCAAATGCTGTGCCCTGCTGATTACATCCAGGGATGTGGGGTTGAGAGCAATGGAGGTTTAAGGCAATCGCAGGCTTATTCTTCAGTTTAAACATTTTCTCAGTACTACACAAAGCAACCGTTACATCAGGCAATTAAACAAGCCTCACACACATGTGCTGGCACCAAGCCAGTGAACAAGGATTTCCTTCCCCCATCCTGCTCACCTGCCAGCTGGGGTTACTAAACTTTTCCCTTGAAATAAAAATACTGTGGAATAATAAGCCACACCTGTTGAACATGGGGGGGAAAAATATCTGAAACGTCCTCCAGCTCCTTTCATCGTGGCCCCATGGAAAAGCCTTGATGGGTAACAGCAGTGTATGCTGTAGTGAAGGAAGGCCACCTCAGCTTTTCCCTTATAAACCCCAGTTTTCCAGGGTTTATAAAACCCGGCTGCAAAATGTAGCTCCAGGGCTGAAACACAGCACCAAAAAGGAATGATGAAGAGAAGGTTTTATTTGCCCCACGCATTCTTAATTAAAATTTGGCAAGTGATTGATCTAGAATGTCGGCTAATCACTTTGGGGAGTCTGAAAAATAACGAGTGTGGCCCACTTTGCAAAGTCGTTATATCTCACACCATGTCAGGAAGGAACAGTGCTTTGAGAAGAGGGTGGAGAAATGGCTTTGAAACCTGGAAGACTGAAATTTGCTGCCCAAGATAATCCAATCTCTTGGTCCATAAAGTACTTGGAGGCTTTGCCATTGAAGATAATCAGAGAGAAGAATAACAACAAAATGCCCTTGAGGTTACAAGCTGATCAGTGCCTTACCAAAGAGCAATCACCGTGTCAGAGGTGGGGAAACAAAGGCACACGCATCAAAGAAAGGAGATGACCACAAGATTCTGTAGGGGAAGAGTAAACGCATGTTCCTAACGCCTAAGCTATGCCATTCGCCCAGCCCTGCATCTGGAGGAAGATGGAGGGATGCAAGGGAAAGTTGCAACAATGTGAAAGCAAGGTAACAAGGCAACAATAGCAAGGGAATTTGATGCATTCATCATCCCAGAACCAATGTGACAAACAATCCAAATTCTGTAGCAGTTACTCATATCTCACAATAAATAATGCATGTCATCATGGATTTGCTCTGACTGCATGCAGCTATGGGACTTGGAATTTTTAGTAATTCAGATTCTTTGAGCAACAACCAGTACTTAAGAAGCTGCCTGCCTGAGTCTGGTATTGCCTACAGTGACAGTGGCTCTGCAGGGTCTCAGGGACATTTCCAGGCCAGTATCCTTTAAGGGGAGTAAACCTGGGACCTTTGGCTTGCAAAACATGTGCTCCAGCACTAAGCTATAAGCTTTCATTTAAAGCATCATGCCAAGAGTGGAGATACGAGTGACAATCATGTTAATGGGCAGAGAGACAAGACTATAGAGGCATGATGCCTACTAAGTAGTCCTGGAATTCCAACTGCGACATCCTAGAAACTCTTAAGTCTACCCCATGCATTTTTATATATATCTTAATAACCAGGATGGGTAAGAAAGCTTGATATATTAAAGAGTATAAACTGAGATTCTAGCAAACTCAAATTCTGCATCCAATATAGAGTATATTATGGAAGCAAATGGTTCTTCCAAAATCGAGTAAAATGATTAATCTTTGGAGCATGTGAAGAAATTCATTTTTTCTTTGGAGGTTTGAAATGAGCAAAACTTTCACTGAGTTTTAAAAGTTTTTTCCCCTGTCTGGGCAGAGAACAGACTGGGAGGAGGGAAGTCAATTCAATTGCTTTCCACACTTATCTCAGCCCACCTCCCTACAAATGCTAATAGATCTAGACAATGGGATGGTCAAACCCCTGCCCCCGAGCAGGGAACAGAGACTTCGAGGTGTTCAATACTAGAGAGACTTCAGGAAGGAATTTCTGAAGAATCTCCAGGAAAAGCTTCTCTGACCCAGCCTGACCTGGTCAGTGACTGGGGAAAAGAGAGAAGGAAGGTCTCTTTGGTGCTAAGTCCATGAGAGAAGACAGAACTCTTAACTGAGGTCTAGAGGAGGCAGCCATTAACCATGTGCTGGCCTGAAGAGCTGGAGGAAGCTGCAAGGTAATAAAAACTCTGTAGAGATC